TGGGCCAGTGAATCGTCCTCCCTGTGTAGAGATGATAGTGATGGCTTACAGAAATTCCCTTGGACAGCCTTGGCAAGAGACCAGAATGCACGGGTTCCCGAAGGAAGGCGAACTAGTTTCTCGCCAATTCTGCCCATGTGCTCTGACTTTGCCTTGGCAATAACTCTTTTGAAGGACCTGGAGGTGAAGTTATACTTCTTTTTAAGTGTGCTAGTGTTTACATCCCGAGTCGCCGAAGCCGCAGCCCAGGCTTGATAACACTCCTGCTTACTGCGTAATGCAGTCTTACAGGAGCGACCAAACCAAGGCTGAGATCTGCCTCCAATGGGTACCACAGATGATGGAATAAATAGTTCCATTCCCTGTATCACCACAGCAGTGACAGAGTCAGCAACAGCGCTGAGATCATCCGGCGAGAAGCAAACCCGCCCCCATGGGTAGGATGCAAAGAAAGACCGCATTCCGTCCCAATCCGCCGACCTGTAATGCCAAACACGGCGGCTACCTGTAGAACGCAACCGCGAGGGGAGCGTGAGTGGTACCACACTCCGGATCAGAAAATGGTCCGAAGAGCCAAGAGGGGCATCGACGGAAACCTGATATCCGTCCGTATGAGAGGTCAGCAGAAGGTCCAACAGGGAAGGTGTATGATCCTCCACATCTGGAATCCGCGTAGGCGAAGTAACCAGTTGTGTCAGACTATATGCCAAGGCAAAGTCATAAACAGATCTTCCCGCATGATCGGTTAAACGTGAACCGAGCCATTCAGCGTGGTGGGCGTTAAAATCGCCAAGGATCACGATCTCTGCGGATGAGGCCTGTTGTAGCAAGGAATCTGTAGCCATTTGGACGTGGTCGATGAGTCGGTCTGTTTCGGCATTACCGCTATGGGACCTATAGAGGCACCCGTAGACGCGCGGATGGTCGTCGCTGTTTACGCGTAGCCAAAGGATGGACAGGTCCGAACCTTCAAGACTGCCGAGGCGTCAAGAACAGATGTCCTCTCTGACATACAAGCAAACTCCAGCCCGAGGCACAAAGGAGTGCTCCATTTTGTACCCCGGGTAGGAGAGATACGAAGTATCAGCCGGAGAGGACACCTGCGTTTCGGTCAGAAAGAGCAAGGCCGGCTTCGCCGTCTCGAGATGGTAGTGGACGGCGTTTAGGTTCGAGTGAAGTCCCCTGATGTTGCAGAAATTCACGGATAGCGTGGCAGGGGTCGCCTTGGTATTGTTGCTCAGTTTGCCCCGAGCAGTTATTATGTTTTTGAGCGGAATTTTGCCCCCCTCCCCCCCGAATACGCGGGGCAGCCTGAGCACCCATGCTCAGGAGTGGAATAACATGGTCGTGGATGCTCAGCGAGGGATTCTTCAGGGGTGCTGGTACCCTCCTTTTTTTTTTGCGGATGGAAAATCATCAAATGACGCCTTTCGCTCTGGGTGGAGCGGAAGGGAGTGTCAGACTTTTACTGACTAAAAACCATCCGTGTTCCTTCCTTCAGTGCCCTTACGTTCCGGAGCCGCGGTATCTCTTTCGAACAGCCCGCAGCCCCGGCAGGCGTCGGCCCTTGCGGGCCCCTTCACGCTGCTGACAGCTCTTTGAGGGGCGCGTGGAACAAGACGCGCCGTCGACACGGCCTGTCGTCGTTAGACGGACGGACGGCGAGCTACCCATTGCTCGCCGTCCACAGGCCCGCGCCTACGGTGGCCGGGAGCCACGACGTAGCCCCCGACGCCCGGGGCGTCTCCCGCGGCGGCCGGGAAGGAAAGCTGCTGCTCTCTCCTTCTCCCGCTCCGCCACCTCCTTCGCTAGCATCACTGCTTCGCAGAAGGTGGTGACGGCATCCCATTCCGTCTCGCTCCGGACCATGGCTTCGACCAGGGCCGGACGCGAGAGATCGCCGCCGCCTATCACCGCTACGAGGACACGGCGGTGCTCCGCCCAGGCAGGGCACACCTCCACGGTGTGCTCCACCGTGTCCTCCGGTCGATCCTCGCAGTGGGAGCACCCGGGCGTTTCCTCCCGCCCGATTCGGTGCAGGAACCTCCCGAACACACCGTGTCCGGTGAGGACATGCGTCAGGCGGAAGGTGAGGACACCGTGGCGTCTCTCAAGCCACTCCTCAAAGACGGGGTCTTATCGCCGCTATAGTGGCGTGCCCAGCACGGGGTTGCGACAGTCGCTCTCTCCATGTCGCCATGAGATCATGCCGGAAGTCTGTCCGCTGCACGACAACTTGCCGCGGCAGCGGAGTTTCCCCCCGGCATAGTGCCTCCGCGCGCCATTCGTGCAGGCGCGCGAGGACTATCGCCTCCAGATCCCATGGCGGCAATCCGGCAAGGAGGCACGCTGCCTCGCGGGAGATCGTGCGGTAGCCGCGAACCATTCTCACGGCAACCACCTTTTGGGGCGCGTTCAGGTGGTTGACGGCAAGCCGCGCCAAGCCACGCGCCCACACCGGGGCACCGTAAAGGGCCATGGACCGCACAATCCCCGCGTAGAGCTTCCGGCAGGAGGCGTTTGGCCCCCCCAGGTTCGGCAGGAGCCGCCTGAAGGCAGCCCCGGTCCGTTCCAGTTTGGGAGCCAAACGTCGGAAGTGCTCAACGAAGTTCCATCGGCCGTCGAGGACGAGTCCTAGGTACTTCAACGTCGACTCGACGCCGATGGATAACCCTCCTACCATCGCTGAGGATCCCGGTGGTGGCCTGTTCCGAGGACCATGGAAGTGCATGGCCTCGGACTTGTGCAGAGCCTCCTCAAGACCCAGCTGCCGGATCCTCTGAACGACTATCGCAACCTCGCGTGTCATAGTTTCCGCCGCCGCCTCGTACGACCCCCCCTGTGCCAGTATACGACCCCCCCTGTGCCAGTAGCTGGTACCCTCCTGGGGTAGTCTTTCGTGTAATTCCGCTACCATGTTGATGGGGGGGGGGGGGGGAATTTGGCCTCCGGCCAACTGCACACAGCAGACGAAACGCAGAAGCACAGCTTCTACTTCATTCCGGTATTCTGTGAGGTCGCCCATACGTGCAACAGCAAAAACTGCCGCGTGGCTTTACCACCGTTAAATGGGTCGGCCCGACCGGGGAAGGACCACGCTCTCACAGAATACCAGATTCATTGGCACTGCGAAGAGATGTTGCATCCCTTTGCATTTTCTTTCGCATCTACCACGGGGAGTGCTCTCAGGAATTGTTCGGCCAAATTTCACGAACGCACATCGCGGCAGAACTCCCGATACCATCCACACCATCTGGATGATTGGCGGTCCACCACTGTGCGATTTAGACGATGTTTTCTTCCTCGCACGACTTCCTTGTGGAATCGATTATCATCAGCGATTTTTCCGGACCGATACGTCTTAGGGACCTTCAAGAAAAGAACCTACTCCTTTTTAAAAGGCCGGCAACGCATCTGCAATTTCCCTGGTGTTGCGGTTGTTCATGGGCGGCGATAGTCATTTACCATCAGGTGAGCCGCATGCTCGTTTGTCCCCTCTCCTATATGAAAAAAAAAACAACCACTTACCATCAGGTGGACTGTGTGCTCGTTTGTCACCCTATCCTATAAAAAAATGTGGTACGATTCCTTTTCTGGCAAGGATTAAAGGGTATGTACTACCTATTTACCGCCAAGAAGCGTTACGTGTAATGCTTGTGATCATTTATTTATTTATTTAAGTACACCAACGATTGTTACAACAATGCAGAAATAGTAAATACACATCCACTTATATACTAATTGTACAATCAATTAAAGGTATACACCACATGCTTCAAGTTACTAAAAAGTTACCTAGTGAAAAACAACAAAAAAAAAATACAAAAACTTAGAACGGAACAAAATAATATTATGCATATGTATACACCTACATAACATCATCCTGCTCCGCTCCATTATAAGTTTTTGCATTTTTTAAATACAAAAACTTAGAATAGAACAAAATAATATTATGTAGGTATATGAAACAATGACTTACACCTAGTTACTTAAATAGTGTATGGTTTACTGTGGCCTTAAACTTAGCTAGAGACATAACATTAACATCTATTGACCCACCGCACTTATTATATAGTTGGGAAATTCTGGAAACCGGTGAGAAAAATCATCGCAGAGTTCAGCGTGTAACAATCGACAGCTTATAATTTCCCTTCAGAATTTTTCAGTTAATTATGCCAAATCGTTACGTGGAGGCAAATAAAAAATATGACATTACAAAATTGCAGATTTGAGAACTGCGTTTAGACATAAAGACTATTGCGACTCTTTGTGTTAACGTTACCGTCACAGCCTATAGTCCACTGCGGAACATAGGTCTTCCCATAGATTGCCTCACAGGGGGTATATTTGACATAATTCTCACGCTTGGGAAGAGCAGTTTTTTATTTTTATTCATATATAACTACTTTGATCTAATAAGTCTAGGATATACAAAACAGCGCCATCTATCAAGGATTGCTGATACTACGTTATTTTTCATTCGGTACAAATTAATACCTTATTAACATAGATCGCGCTGCCTTCGATTTGAAACATCCGCAACGTTCATTTATCTTTCACAACTACGGCCCGCCACACAAATTACGGAATCCCGTTTTAGCCGCAAAATTTCGAACGGAAAACTACCGTATGTGTGACCGGTCATAGAGTTTATATGGACTTGCTGCGTTCGGAATTCCGAATCGAAATATCGTAACTAAATTCCGTATGTATGTGGCGGGCCTTATAATCTATACTGACTCTCTTTACCCTGGAACTGGAACAGAACATGACAGCAATGCAAGTACTACTGTTTGGCGGCAGAAATAGGTAAAAGGAAACGAACTCCTAGGCTGAAAAGGAGATTCACCCAGAAATCGGAGGAGGCCTGTGCCGAGCAGTGAGACGTATAAAGGCTGTGTAACTTTAAGAAATATAAAAAAAAATATTTAAACTAAAGTGCGGAACCAAAAATTGGGGAGATCAAAATAAAAGCAATTTTTTAAACTACTGTTTTATTGTCATATAACATTAGAATATTTACTGATTATATCTCTGTAGAAAGTAAAAACGAGGTCACTGGCCGCCCGGCACCTTTCCAGTGCTTCTTCATATGCGGATTCACTGTAGCTACCCTCAGAGAAACCTGGAATATTTTTTTAAGTTAATAACTAGCAATGAGATAATAAATCTAGGACCGGTATTCAAAGACAAACTCAAATCTCTCCGGTATTTTTTGTAGGTAGTCTCTAATAAATTTAAATTATAATATTGTAAAAGTAAGAGAGACTACCCTCATTATAATAATCAATATATCAGTAATATCATGTATTTGTATGGCCCACAAATAATTGTTCCAGGTCTGGATGTTTGTCCTCGTGCAATCTATGTTTGTAAACTGCCTCCACGATACAGGAGAAAATCCTAGTGTGTGGTTAGCGTTTTATTTAAAAAGAAAGAGAAAAAAGTAAAAAGATAAGCAAGCTTACGTGTTATTTTAGTTAAACTATATACTATTACGGTATTGAAAAACTTGAGTATAGTGTAAACCATATTAGACACAAATATTGACTTTGTGAAGTTTAAATTGGAGATTTTCTCTGAATACCAGTATTAGTACTGTGGAATCCCTACACCCACACTCACGTAATTTGCACGCACCACCGCACGCAAGTATACACGCACACAAGCACACACGCACCCACACATAGTTTTTAACTTACGAATCCAACTCGATAGGTACCACCGTGAAGGAAATACAAAGAGGAGGTGTTGTAATTAGATTTCACTATGTAACAACGCGTGACAATGTTAAACCCACTTTACTATCTACATCTACCGATAAATAGTAAAACTACTTGAATCGTTCCATATCGATGTTGCAGTGTAGTTTAGTTACTTTGACGATAAATGGCGGTCTGTTCACAAAACGATTATAAAAACTATTAAAATAATATTTTGGCGATTAAAAATTCTTTAGAACTGAATGCAAAACAAATTTCAGCACCTTCGTATGATTATTTTACCAATACTGAGCTCTACGCACCTTTATATTTTTAGATCGAATGACACAAAGTGTCGCCATCTAGTGTCGAATATATTTAATTATATTTGAAAGCCGACGCAGATTTTTCTACAACTATTTTAATAAATTAGGTGTAAAATTACTTACAAATGAAATATGATGCCATCCATAGCATCAGAGCGTCTATCTGAGTAGTTTTTACACGATAAAACACAACACTTCATCGTTTCCTTCTTAATACTACGAAAATACACTGATTTGCGATTTTCAACACATTAGCGCACAGCACGAATGCTGACAGTATGCTAACTAAAGCCACGCCCACTATAATTACGTCAGGACCTTCTTAGAATCACAGTTCACAGTTGCTTATGCCGTCTCCTCTTTGTATTTGCTTATATTGCACCTAGTGTTTGGACTTTTTCTATGATGTGTAGTGGCGGTGTAAGAATATCCACTACTCCTATATCATCCCGTGGGTGTCGTAAGAGGCGACCGACAGAGGGATCCAAACCAGGAGATGAGCAGCAGTGTCTTCCTTATAACAACTAGTAACCAACCTGTTAATAAGTTCTTATTCCGGCTCTCAAACACAAAGTTTAAAAGGGCCCTAGCACTAGTTGCTTGCTCTTGAGTGGGCTCCAGCACAATGTTGCCCAATTCGTCTACAGCACATGATACGGCCGCGAACACAAAACGCATTGCGAGGCCCGAGTTGAGAAGGGCTAGGCAGGTACAGTTAAGTGCGCAAGACAGTAGCTGAAAATAAAATATAGAAATATATTATCATTATTTACTGCTTTATTCATTGCTTGTAGCTTTAAATAATACCTGGTCTCTGAAAGAAATCATGACTAAAAGCAAGGTTGCAGACATTCAGACCCAATCGATCATATAATATGATATATGATTAAAAAATCTAAAATAGAGCTGGACAGGTCACATGATTTATTGAAATACCAACAAATAGATGAACTGGGAACCCTATGGTAGCCAAGAGACGGCGTCAGAAGACAGGAGAGAGTCAGAAGACAGAATCGCCTAAGGAGAAGATGGTAAGATGATATTTTTTTTGCTCTGTGGCAGCACCGGTGACAAGTTGTAAAATAATTGCACCCAACTATTTTTAAAAATTAAATATTGTAAATTGATAATATGCACCTCAATTTTGAGTTACAGTTGTTAAATAGGACTTATTTGTATTTGTGAAATAGGTAAAAGTCAGAAGTACTTATTTTAATTACATTGTGATTAAGTGTTCCAACCAAAAGTGATAACTGTAACGAACATCGTTTACACTTACTGTAAGTGTAATTCTTGTTATGTAACGAACATCGTTTACACTTACTGTAAGTGTAACTCTTGTTATCACTTTAACATTTTAAGATTTACCTTTTAAGTAAGTGTTGTTCTGGATTTCATTTCGAATTATTATAAAATTATAGATAATATTACATGATAATTTGAGATCTGTGAATAAACTCATACATCTAGACATTTGATTACTCTGCTTTTTCGGTTTTCTGTTTTGTTTTCTTTTTAGTAATGACGTTTATTTTGTTACAAATAGTACAAATCGTAGATGCCCTAATTACCTACTTTGAAATTTAATACGTTATATTAATTGATAATGAAATAAATTACACCTACTTAAATAATTCTATTTTTATTTATTTCATTAATATTCTTTAAGTGGTATGCCTTGCTGCAGCTATATTAATAGTATAGTTGTAGTACGAATGGGTCGGCTTGACCGGGGAAGGGCCACGCTCTCACAGAATACCAGCGTAAAATAGCAGCTTAATGCTGCTGTGTTTCGTATGGTGAGTGTAGAGAACCGAAGACCCTTTTGGCTGATAACGCATCTACATTCTGCATTTTAATTCGCAAACGTAGATAGATGTAGATGTAGATGTCTATGGGCCACAGCAACCACTTACCATCAGGTGGACTGTGTGCTCTTTTGTCACCCTTATTCTCTTAAAGCACATATGTGTGGTAACTCTTCATCACTTTTATGTAACTGTCAGATCATAGAGAGAGTGAAATCCATTAGATACTTAGGTGTTACTGTTGATTACCTCTTAAACTGGCAAGAGCATATAATTAAATTAAAAAGTAACATTAGAAAACTAATACCAGTGTTTAAACGTTTAAGACATATTCCAATTGAACTACTCGAAACCATATATAATGCTCTCTGCCATTCGCTATTGTCATACTGTATTACTGCTTGGGGAGGTACTTACAAAACTTATATCTTGCGCACTGAAAGATCTCAAAGAGCTGTGCTGAAAGTTATGCTTTCTAAGCCTTTTAAGTTTCCCACAAGCAAGTTGTTCTCGGAAGTAAATGTGCTTACAGTCCGACAGCTATTTATTTTCAAATCTGTTCTTAAAACACGTAAGTAACAAATAAATAAATAAATAAATAAGAATTATAATTGTAACTTAAATTTATTTCAATAGTTAAGAAGAAAAGATCGAATTATACTACCAGACAAATTTCACTCGTCTTATGCTCAAAGACAAATAAACTTTTTGGGTCCTTACCTTTATAAAAAAATTAGCAATATTATAACGATATATACGCTAACGCGTTTTAAATGTAAGCAAGCTCTAAGTTTTTAATGTCTTTATCTTATGAGGAAACTGAAAAATTATTAAATATAGATAGGTGAAACACAAACTCTTAAGGAAATATCACACACTCACACTTTCTTTCTCACACGCACATACACAAACACACATATACACACACGTATTTACACACTCACAAACACACACACTTATTTACTACACACTCGCATCTACCTATTAGTTTTTTACACATAGTTAAGCTTATAATATTGGTTAGGATTAATAAATTATTACATACTATAAAACATTTTACTTATTATCCTTTTGCTTTTTTATTATTATGTTTTTTTTAAAGAAATGTAATATTATTTGAGTCACAACCCACTAGTTGTAACAATTATTTTTATGTGGAATCTAGAATAAGTTTTTGTAAGAGTTTGCTATAATATCAATAAGTGTGTGATATATTTATAACATGTCGCTTATGCCTTGATCTTGTACCACACAACTAGTTTTTGTGTTAAACCACTTCGAAAGTCATAATAAATCATCGCTCTTGAATTTTCTCGAGTCAATGCCATTTTCTCAACGACTAAACAAGTTTGATAAAACCTTGTGGTAAGACCGAGAATCTTTTTTTAAATAAATAAATGGTATTCGATTTTTAAAACCAAGGAGTTTTTAATTAAAAAGATTTTAATATGACAGGAACAGAGGAAATATTCTATTTCCGATACTTTTAGTGCAGCCCTCGTAGATACAATGGCGCCTCATCTAGCTATTATTTTTAATATTACTATCGAATCTGGTGTTTCCTGATTTAATGAAGCATAGTAAAGTAATACTTTTATTTAAATCTGGTAGGACATTAGACCCCGCCAATTTTAGACCTATTTCTGTACTAGACTGTACTAGACTAGACGGCTCCGTGGCGCAGTGGCTTAGCAATGAGTTGTTGCGCTGGGGGCCGCGGGTTCGAACCCCGCACGGAACAAGTATTTGTATGGCCTACAAATAATTGTTCCGGGTCTGGATGTTTGTCCTTGTGCAATTTATGTTTGTAAACTACCTCCACGACACAGGAGAAAATCCTAGTGTGGGGGTGATGTTTTTTTTTTAAATAAAAAAATTAAAAAAAATACTACCAATACTTAGTAAGATTTTTGAAAAAATTATTCTTTATCAAATGTTAATTTGTTTAACATAAATCATTTACTTCATAAAAATCATAATTTCACATGTATCGCTTGACAACTGATGCCGGTGTTGAGCTGATCTTTAATGCATGGGAAAATTCACAGGATGCTTTGGGTATATCCTTCGACTTATTCAAGGCCTTCGATTGTGTTCACTATGAAACATTAATCAGGAAACTGCAAGACTACAGTGTAAGAAGTGATGCTCTTAAATTAATTATTACATATTTAAGTAATAGAACGTCAAAAGTTGTCATTAACAGTATGAGCTCTTCCGGGTCGATGGTACAAATGGGCGTGCCTCAAGGCTCAATTCTCGGCCCCTTTCAGTTTCTTGTATACATTAATGAGTTACCTTACATAGTAGGGAATAAACATGATATAGTATTATTTGCTGATGACACTTCATTAATTTTCAAATTAATACGACAATTATTGGTTCGAATCCGCCATTCGACTTCTGTCGTGAACCACTCTTAACACAAGCATTTTTAGCTTACCAGTAGTGGTTAAAGGGAGTATTATTAGTAATGTTAATAGCACTGCCAGTTTAAAAAAAACTTACATTTAAATCGCACTAAAACGAAATATATTAAATGCATGACTCCAAATATCAAACAATTAAATACTAATGTAATTTTAAATGGGGAGGAACTGAGTCTTGTCGATACCACCATTTTTCTTGGAATCACACTAGATGCGAAGCTTCAACGGAGCCCCCATATATCAAAACTAGCAAACAGACTTAGTTCTGCAGCATATGTTGTAAAAAAGATTAGAAATCTTACCAGTGTTGAAACACCTAGACTAGTTTACTTTAGCTATTTCCATAGAAACAAAAACAGAAACAGAAACTTTTTTATTCAATATAGATTATAAATAATACTTATTGAAAGTCACCCTTTTGTTTAATTATCACTGGTTCGAAAAAAACCTCTGTCCTGGGAAGAACCATCAAGAAACTCTGCGGGACTTTTTTTTTAAATAACAGCTTTCAATCATGTGTGTTACACAATTAACAACACAACAAATTAGAAATAGCTTGGTAGCGATCACCTCATTTCCAGGGGTTATTATCATCCATAAATTCCTTAACATTATAATAACCCTTTTTATACAAACTTAGTTTAATAAAGTTTTTAAACTTTGAACAGGTCAAATTTTGTATATTTTCTGGAATTTTGTTCTAAAAGCGTATACATTGCCCCAAGAATGAATTACTGACTCGAATGAGTCGAGTAACTGGTACAACTAGCTTGTGTCTGTTACTAGTATTTACGGATTGAATATCACTATATAATTTCAGTGTCAGCTGCATGTCCCCATAGCAAAATACCATACCACATTATGCTATATCTAAATTAGTAAAATGGTTCAATGTTAATCATTTGCATTTGCACAGCGATGCGAAAAAATAATTTCGCTTCCCGCCAGCAACGGATTTTGATGCGGTTTTCATCAATAGACAGAATGATTCTAGAGAAAGGTAAATATGTATAATATAATATGCATATTTTAGTAGAGAAAAAGGCGAGAATTTCAAAAAGAGCAATGGCAGACTTTCATATATAAAATTAGTTGAGAAGAAATGGTAGCGTCTATATACCAAAAATATCTTAAAATATTAAGCGTCAGCACCTTAATAACTCTGTCAAAGAATTTTGTACTGAGAAGGCGTCAAAAAAAAGATATTTACATTTGAACCTTTTTAGGTTATGTCCTATGTCACTTGGAAAAAGTCATGCTTCCTGTGGTTGTTTGATGTTAGCTTAATACATAATACATAATTGAGAGTTTTTAGATTATTGTATCTCTATTATATATTTGCATACTATAAATGAATATTTCTGGCATGGCTCCAGGGCTTTTGTATCATAGTGACATTCTCAGAAGGGCTAGAACCCAGAGCCGTAAATGCAGTAAAAAAAAACAGTGACATTTTATTTTAGCTAGTGTTGGCATAACATTAAATGGAATTGTTACATAGTACTATGATTGAGATAATGTATTATTGTAGGAAATTCTTTATAAGAGACTTATTCTCAGCCATATTACTTTTATTTTTGTTATTACTGATAGTACAGTTATTACTAATAATAACTTAATATAAAAATATTTTGTGTGTTGTGTTGGTTGTGTTACAAAGTGTATACGAAAATAGTAGGAATTAGACGTGGGTCGTTACGTCATTTTCAAGAAACGTAACGAAACTAGTGACTTGGTCTGCGTCACATGTTTCACAACTAGTGATTTTTGTAACTGGCTATTTTTATTTGGCTACTGTGATTGTTTGCATAAATACCACCAAAAACTATACAGTTACATACGAAACGAAAATAAATTTAATCACTATCTAAGTGTTTCTAGCTATACAGTTAAATCAATAAATTAACTTCCCTTCATACTTTACTGAACTGACTACATTAAATGTATTTATGATTGTTTTGTATTTACTATGAAACTAAGATTTTCATAAAATTATTAATGCAGCGGTATTTACAAGTCAATTTGATTGTATATACAATGATTATTAATATTCACAGTTTATTTAAACTTGTACAATCCACACTAATTATATTTATATAATATAATAGCAAAGAAACGTTACTGTAAATGTACATAAAACACCAAAATAACATATAAATGTAAATTTTTACAAGATAGTATTCAAAATTATAAACAAGTACAACGATGAACTAAAACAAACTAAATTATTTTACTTAAATTCAATGTGACCATCGCTTCCCGGAATTGCAAACCGTTGAAATTATTTTTACAAACAAAGATCACTCTATTTATATTGTCGATATCTATAGTCTTACGTTTGAAAATTAAACGTACAATAATACTGTTACCTGTTACATACGCTGTTTTGTTTATTGTTGTATGCCACATGTGCGCTTTGCGCTTGACCGACCGACAGTCGGCTCTCGCAACAATCACAGTAATAACGCATTTACAAAAATCACTACTTGTAATATGACTCGAAACTAGTGATTCGGTTACATGCCTCGTAGCCAGTTATTGTAACTAGTGACGTGAAATAACGCCCACGTCTAGTAGGAATATACTAAATGGCAACATTTGAATAGAGTAAAATGATTTCAGTCATTTGATATTCCCAAAAATGTTTGTTTTTTCTGTGGCTTTAATTAAAATACATTTTTATTTGAAAAATTATACAAAAATAATAAAACTCATTTTACATATAACTTTTTTCTAGACCCTATTATTTTTGTCAACTATTTTTCTGCCATTGCTCTTTGTTACATCACAAAAGCTGGCTAAACCTATAAGAGATAGATAAAAATAATGTACTACGTAATTGTATATCTTAAAAAGATCTACAAATAGGTTCAGGATGGTATAGGTCTATCTCCTAAGGATAATCCACAGTAACCATTTTTATCTCTTACATATTACAAAAAAAACATGGGTTATTTACAAAGCAATTTAAACAATACAGTATTATTTCGAATCCAATTAATTTTATATATGGTGGAGCCATTCTGCAGCTGTATTAATAGTATAGTTGTAACACGAATGGGTCAGCTCAACTGGTTAAGGACCACACTCTCACAGAATACCAGCGTAAAATAGCAGCTTAATGCTGCTGTGTTTCATAAGGTGAGTGTAGAGAACCAGAGACCATTTTATTCGAAAAGAGGCATTCTATCTTAGTCCCACGGCAGACAATGCATCTGTATTTTAATTCATAAATGAAGGTAGATGTGATGTAGATGTCTATGGGCCACAGTCACCACTTACCATCAGGTGAAGTGTGGGCTCGTTTGTCACCCTTATTCTATAAAAAAAACTAAATACATTAGACATGTTGTGCATTTAATGTAAATCAAAATTGCCCTTCATCAAAGTTTAAAATGCGGGGGCAGAGCGACCGCCGGACCGTACGTCCGAATTGGGTGGCAATCACGCCCTACACTGACAACACATTACTATTTATATTGCACCCGTGCGAAGCCAGGATGAGTTGCTAATTATAAAAAACATTCCAAAGACATGTGAATTCCACTAATTTAAATTGAAACAGAGTGATAGACCCTTCTTTGTCCTAAATTCCTCTTAGAAATTAAAGGAGGCATATGTATATTGGCTGAACTTTTTTTACTAGAACTACTTTTGGTTTTTAAATAAATATTTAATTTTCCTAAATATACTGAGAGAAATATATTGAGCTTACACCTCCGTAATCCTCAAGTTCTTGAATGGTAACAGTAATGCCTGACCGTGGATAAAGACTGCCCAGTATAGCAGTTTCACACGTCTGTTTAATTATGCTCTCTTTGTATCTGAAACACAGAAATTATTATTTAGTTCAATTGGGATTTTGGAATTTAATATATTTTTACCTTCCCATTTGGTATTTGTTGTAATGGGTCCAATATTTGGCATTCCAAACCTCAACATCCCCATATTTATAGGACCCATTATTGATACTAATATTGCTAAAAGGATGTTTTGTTAATTTTTTCTTTTATTTTTCACTTGTATGTTTGTATGTCATTAAACTTTTTCATCTATATTATCACAAGAGTATAGAGCAAACCTTGAAGACTCTCCGGTCTTCTACACTCACCATACAAAATACAGGTTGAGCTGACCCATTTGCGCTATAACAATAAAATAGCTGCAGCTTGGCACTACCACATAAAACAGAGTGACAATATCCAGAAATACGAGTATCAAACTACCAATTTGTCCCCAAGCAGACATTCTCATGATAGTGAAGGTTGACAAAATTGCACCTACACTCATTTTTATACTGAAAATTCAATTATTACATAAATATTTTATATATCAGCCTGAAGATATGAAGTATCACATTTATATTTATTATTATTAATTTATATTATATTATTATTTAAGTTTAAGAATTATTAAGAAATTTTAGATATTGCCCTGATGATATTGTGGTATCAACACCAACCCACAACAATATAAATAAAATAAGAACATCATCAATTTAGTTGAAGTCGAATTAAATATGCATTATTACGGATAACTCAAAAACTACTGGTCAGATCTTAATCATATTTATATAGGACCACACTAGAAGCACCATCTTTGAAATAAAAACAGAATCAAAATCGGTTCACCGAGAAAAATGTTCTGAGGTAACATACATAAAAAAAATAAAAAATTGTTGATTTGAGTACCTGCTCCTTTTCTTGAAGTCAGTTAAAAATCGACTGAAATTGCAATCACCAACCTATATATTGCTATGGACAAGTCCCATATTCAATAATGGATTATTTTATGGCCTGATGAGGAATATTATTAATGTCAACTTGACAACACTGCATATCTAAGCAGGCAACACTACTAAGTATAATCCTACCACAGAGCAAGTTCCCTCCATTACTAAACTTCACTGCCAAACCTGGTAAGCTCAACATGCTATACAATTCAAAACAAATTTACCTGTCTGCGACTGATGGTTTGCCACCTTTTGTGCAAAACAAAACTTCTAAAGTTGATTTTTCTATGCTCTGACTTTGCATCTTAATATCTAATGGGCCATTCACACTTACTAAAGTCACTGTTTCTCCTAAAATAAAGGTTTCAAGTTAGTTGTCTTACAGCACAATTGTGGCAGAACATTTTGTATGAAACTGTTTTTACATAATATCCCTTATAATCAGATCAATCTAAATTTATCTGACATAAACTTTTTTATAAACTAGACATTGTTCACTTTATTGGTCCATTATCTATTTCCTACTAAAGTTACAACTTATATACGTCCCACTGCTGGGTACAGGCTTCCTTTCATCTCTGAGGGGGTTTTAGGGCAAGGAAATGTCCACCGCGCTGCCCCAATGTATGTTGGTGCACTTCACAGGTCTCCAAATTTTTTTTTCTTATTTCTCAGATATGCAGGTTTCCTCACAATGTCTTCCTTCACCCCTGAGCACATGGTAAGTCAGCACTTAAAATTGCAAATTACAATTTCATTGGTGCCTGCGGGGATCGAACCTGGGTTGCTCGTGAAACTTACAGCGACCGCTTAGCTCCTGAACCACCATGGCTCCTTTCCTACTAAAGCTATCCTTAAATTCATCACTGCCAGCTCTCGCCTGCAATAATTGCAGAAAATTTTTGTTTGTCTCTTATGAATTAAGTGAATAGCATCTTACCTATTTCTGCCGCCAAGTATCAACTCGGGCACTACTGTGTTCCAGTTTATAGGGAATTAATTGAGGAGTCTGAATTGAATCGAGGAGTGTGTTTTAAGAATAAGTTGCGAGGCATTTCATCTTAGAAGAGGCAATTCAAATTGTTTGAAGTCACTAGCGATGTTGGGCTAATCTAGCAGTACCCGTAGTAACTCACTTGATATCAAGCGGATTGTCAGGTTGTTTGTCACGAGGCAGTAATCAATATTCTATGTACCTATAATAAATCATTCTTTCATTACTATCTTAAAAATGATAAATAAACAGAAGTAAAAGATACCTTGTGATAAAATAGCGGATCCATCAGATTTACTCAAAAAATTAAATTCACACTTCATAGGTTTCAGTTTAAATTCTTTCGTATCAACTTCAACGCCCATTGTAAAAACTAATGACTTTTAATTAATGAATTTCTTGTATGGCATATACTACTATGTATTGTATTGGTATTAGATAAAATATTAAGCACTACGCTTAGTACAGTTTTAAAATTTTAAAACATAACCAGCACATAACCTTTTGTTGTTGTTATGTTGTTATTGCATGTTTTGTTGTTGTTACGATTTGCTAAATAAGACAAAGATCCTAAACTATACAGCCTTATGCACAAAAATAAAACAATTTTGTCTTTATCATTTCTGCGATTGATATAATCTATTCACAGAAACGATAACATAAGTGCACTGATAATAATGATATAAACCCAAATATATTTAACTTTTATTTATTTTTTATTTTTATTTATGTTCATTAAACTTATTTTTGAACCAACTACCATTAAAATAGGCAAATTATAAACACTGCTATTGTTTTAGAATCGTGTGTTCTCCTATAATTAGTAGTACATAGTAATTTGCAGATGTAAGGCATGTGTTAGAAGTAATTTAATATCTACAACTGTTGGAGATCCATACAAATAAATAAATAAATATTTTATGTGCCTTCAGACCTTAACACACTATTATAATCCAGGAGATAGTGGATGATATAATACTATACATCATCCAATATCTCCTGGCTTAGACCTTAGATAAATAATTATGTGGCAAGCTACAATTAAAATTTTAATTAATTTTTTTTATAGACTTTGCTTAGACCGCCGTCAAAATCTTCCAAAAATATTAAAATATTATATTTATTAATATATTATATTATACATATTGAATTTTTTTATTCAGATTTTAAATGAAAAATATTATTATGATTCGCAGGTACATTGTTTTTGTTCATTTAAAATTCGAAAATCTGGCATGATCATGAAACGGTGGATGAAATATGATATCCAGGATTCAAACTATTATTATTATTATTATATATTCATTTCTGAACAAAATTAATTTATTAAAATAATTTCTATACGACAGCATAGATAAGAATGTACGACACTATGTCACTGCTTTTTGACAGTTTGTCAGCAGATCTATCACAAAACTTGGCGCTTAACGCATGGATGAGCTAATTACGTCACACAAAAGTAATACCAAAATAAGCACTTTACAAACTGTAGTTGTCTCTCTTTTCTATTGTAGCTACTGCTTTGTTAAAAAGAGACAAAACTGTTTTTGACAAGTGTGTGTCGATATTATAGATATTTGTATAAATATTATTTCTATAGTGGAATATGCCATCTCCATAAGTATATATCTCTATGTTTAATGTTGACTGCTTGCCTACGTTTTAATAGCCTACATAATTATTATTAGTGAGATAAATTGCGCACACAAGCTAAATAACACTTTATCACTGTGTGAAAGGGTCCGTATTACTTTGCATCTTTTCTCCTTTCTACGTCATTACGGACTTTCCGTGGTTACTAATGGCTGTTAATAAAGAGTAAAATATACACTGCGAAGTGGTAAGTTAATAAGTAATACACATATAAATTATTCTTAAATAACATTAAAACTTTTCAACTATTTTATCCTACAATTAAATGTACTAAACACTAAACAAACCCTATTTTGACGAGTATTTCAACAAGTATTTACAAAAAAAAAACTATTTACGTAACAGCGTTAAAAAACTTTAACATTCAATCGTCTAGAACGCGCTAGTTCCGACTGCGTTCTAACTCGGGGGCGCCTCGCGATTGTAGGTAATTATTTCACGCAGGTAGCAAGAGTGACAGAGGCTATTGATTCATATAAGATAAAATTTAATATAATATACAATTTTTAATTTTGTATCATATCGTTGTTTATTCAAAGTTATTAACCAAAGTTTTATCAAACATTATTATTTCGATATATAAATATTTTTGACTATAATTTTTAATTACTAAGTCTATTAATTTGTTATATCTATATTTTTAAATTTCAATTTTATGTCTTGTGATTTATTTATTTCTATTTTAAACCATAAATTTATATCTATCCAATGTTTTTATTAGACAATTAGTACTTATTATTATTTACTTTACGTAAGCTATCGAGAAAATTAATTATTCATATACTTGACTATAAAGTAACTTGGCAGGCGCCAATTTAAATCAAGCAACTATTAAATGAATGAAGTTGACTATATTGTCGCGTGATACGGGCGATAACTTCTAGTTTCAGATTTTTTTTATTCCAGGCACTGAAAATGTCTCATTCACTGCGACAGTGGAGGACTGTTTTGGACCCTTGGGATATTGCGAATCACTGGCTGAATTTTCAGTTTTTCAGTTTAGAAATAATATCATGTTTTTATTACATATACCAAAAAGTATCCTTAAAAGATTAAAACATTCCATGCAATAGATTTGTTTAAAAAAATCATAAAAATTACTCCTCCTTCAATACGGTCACTCTAGTGGTGCCCAGTAACTTAATAACTATTCAGTTATTACGTGAAGCAACTAGGAAGTATTTATAATATTATATAAAATATGAAATTGATCTATCAATAAATTCTACTAATTTTAAGTAAACTTTCCATACTAAAAACAAAGACAGAAGTTTTTAAATAAATCAATTAAAAAGTATCGAAATACAAATCATATGCACCCTACTTTACGAGCGGCAATAATATCAATGAATTTGTAACGCGATGCTTTAGTATACATTGAAAACAACCGACAGTCGACGCAATGTCCTTTATGGCGGCTCTTCACGTTGGGCAACATAGTGGCGAATGTGTTGGCAGAGATATTGGCTAAGAATTTGTAATCGCGTCCACACGTTGAAAGGTCGTTCAGTTTGCTTTGGTTCAGGCCAATGTGCGGACGAATTTATTAAAATGATTATTGATGCGGTAAAGGCTGCTGCGGTTTATTTATTAAGAGCATACCACTGTAACGTGAATGTGTATAAGAAAAGGGTGATCGAAAAGAAATGGAAAAAAAGAAATTTAATTTCTTGACGACTCCATGGCGTAGTGGCTTAGCAATGAGTTGCTGCGTTCGGGGCCGTGGGTTCGAATCCCGCACAGAACAAGTATTTGTATGGCCTGCAAATAATTGCTCCGGGTCTGGATGTTTGTCCTTATGCAATTTATGTTTGTAAACTGCTTCCACGATACAGGAGAAAATCCTAGTGTGGGGGTAACGTTTATTAAAAAAAAAAGACTTGAAAAACTTATGTTTCACAAACAATTTCCGGCTTGGTAGGGCTCTATAAAGAGAAAAGTTTTTTCATTGGTCATTGTTACAGCCATTATGTAGACACTAGTTACGATACGTACATATAAAATTTGAATAAGGTGTGTGTGATCACTCTGGGAGCTCGTAGCAAACTGAACGTGCGCCCAACGTGTGGACGCAACGGCCAATACTCTGCCACAATCCTTTGATCTTTTGCGAAAAACCGACACCACACGGATCTTGCGCCAACTTGTGGGCCATCGTTCCAATACATACAAACGTAGTTTAAACACCCGCTCTACACGATGGCCATCGTTGTTGGCCAACACATTCGCCAGTATGTTGGCCAACGTGAAGAGCCGCCGTTAGCAGAAGCAAGTGCCGCCCCCGCACCCCCGCCTGCGCCCCGTGCTCATGTCAGTTTTCAGCACAGAGTACTTTTATATATACGTTTTCAGTCACCTGTAATTAGCTATAGCGTGACGTCGTATTGTTTTTGTTTCCGCGATTGGCCGCCCGCTGATAGTAGTTATCGTAAACATGTACCAATACTCTAATGTCGAGCTCGAGTACCTAGCAATGGTGAGATTTTATGTCTTGTCTGGTGAAAACTAAGACGGTGCGAGATGAAGAACAAAAGAAGAACACCTACTTTTGTTGCGTAGGGATGCAGTGATTGTAGGTGTTGCCCCTCAAATTCCCAGCACTGATTTAATATTACGGACGCTTTAGCGCTTACGTGATCATGGCCAGTTCTGGCTTACAAGCCATGCCAGAGGCAGGGGCCGGTCACTCTTGTCCAGACACAGGCTTAGCTTTCCATTGACTCTCGTAGAGTTGGGGGTTGATACGTATTTTTACAGAAAAGTTACACTATTATAAGCACACACGCAAAGTTACAACATGCGGAAACACGTAATTTTTGAGAAAAAGTTATTGAAAATCAATTATTCTTGCATTGTTTATATCTAATCCTACCATAAAACTGACGCCATTTTGTAATGTCATTGTCGTCAGTAGGGGTGTCGATTCTTTCCGAAAAAGGTCATCCGTAAGCTGATGTATCGATTCACAAACACGGATTTCTAAAATATCTATATTTTTTTATGTTTGCATTTATAATGTAAATTTAATTCCATTTTATGCGAGTGTCACGCCCCGCGCGCCCTTCCTTTTTCCCTCACTCGCAGCACGCCCGCCACTAAACACGTTTGGTCTGCAGTGCTTAGTGTTTAGCGTTTAGCGTCGGACGCTCGCTTCTGTTAAAAAAAATGTACATACTTCCTGATCGACAGAATTGGACACTACTTACACTACACACCTGCACTAATCAACCGCAAAACTAATCACCTGCACTCGCACTAATCAAAGTGAAAACAGGCCTTTATAAATAGTGATTTAGACACGCTTCGAAGTTTAACAAACAATTTACAAAGACGTGCTAGTTTGCGTTTAGAAAGAAACGGTGGACATTTTACTACGATGTCGTTAAAAAGGTTTTTATTTGTTGTAAATAACAATAATGTAGTATAATTTTCTAAATATCAACTAGTGTAGTTTGTAAATAAGTTGATTTCGATCTTTTAAATACGCCTAAGATGTTGCAGTATACGGTAGGCATAAAAGCTATTATTAGAAAGTGTTTATAAATTCATTATAGCGCTTAAAATTCTTCCATTCAAAAGCGATCGTAGCCTATACCGTTTAATATCACCTATTTTTAGTTTTAGCCCAATGCTGTAGGATGAATTGCTTTTTTTGTATTTTTTTGAATATTCGGAAAGTTTGCTTATCAGTTATATTTTACGAATACTTTCA